TAATTTTCATTTTCATGTAGTAAAGGCTCTATGCCTTCATAAAGGACGTACTTTTCCTTTGTTTAAGGGTATTTGGGCAGTTTATTCTCTGTTATATTCTCAAGTAAACAATACATACAAGTACAGTACAGTATTTTCTTAGGAAACACTCGTACTTATTTTTTTTAACCCCATTTTCGATAACCCGACATTTTCACAAACTCGGCCACCCTTCGGTCCACATTAGGCCGAGTTTTCGAGGTTCTACTGTACTGAAATCAATTATTTTGACTAAAGTCTTACCGAATACTGATTATTGGTGATTATAATATTGACTTAATAAATGAACAATTTGCGTGTATTAATTTATATATATAATCGAGACGGGTTAATAATGATGACAATAATAATAATAAGCCCAAACGGTTAGGAGTTGAAAGTTGAAATTTGGTACATAGTTAAAGGATACGTCACGAAAACGCACACTAAGAAGAGACTTTTCGAAATTTCCACCGGGGAGGAAAGAGACAGGATAAAGATTTCGACAATGGAAATGTGAAGTAACAATGGCAGTGTTAACAATGAAAGTGTTAAGAGAAAGCAATATGCAAGATTTACAGGCGCTGATGCGGTTTTTTGGGTCTTGCGAGAAATCGAAAATATTTTTAGACCAATGTATAAATTTTCTAATTTGTCTGAAAACAGAGGGTCCCAATTCTTGCATTCTGTGAAAACGGATAAGGTTGACTATAACGTAATAATCTTAATCTCGCTATCGTTACTTTTGCCCGAGCAAAGCCGGGCCTACCTGCTAGTAAATAAATAAACTCTTATTATTCTGAAAATTTAATAATAATAGCAGATCATAACCAACCGATTCGAATGGATAAATACACTCGACGGTTTACTATGGTTTAACCAAAGTTTGTGAGTTTAAATTTTTCATCCATGAAAATTTATTTTCATTTCTGTTTTTTACCGTGGAAAGAATCTCTTTGGTCACAAAGACAATAAAGAAAAAAAGGAGAGTTAAATAATACTTTATAAAATGTCTATGGCATCTTTTCTACTCGTGTTTTTCATGGAATTATTACTACACTTTTGATTTGTTATGTGAACAGTCAGTTTATTAACAACTAAGAAACGTCTGCTACTCTTTCTCTAAAAATCGCCTATCCACCAAATAATATATAATGGAAACGCTTTAGTAAAAAATAAAAAAATCTGAAAACCTACAAACAACTTAAAGACTCTATTAAAAGCTTAAATTATGTTTAATTTTGTATGTTAATTGTTTTTTCTGTATGTCTGTTATGGTCTATTTGTATTTTCTTTTTTACATTGAAAAAAAGCTAATTGCTTACATGATAAATAAAGTGAAGAGAATAATTAACTTAAAACAGTATAGTTAAAAAAAAACAAAAACGTGCAATTTTTTAAATTTAATTGAAATTTATTTAATTAAAGCATATCAATTTTACAAATGTAAAGTAGAAATTAAATGTAACTTCGATGTTTAGATGTTTTCATTTTTGAAGCAATAAATATAAAAAATAACTTAATAAGTTTTGTTTCTTTCAAATATTATGAAGTTTCTATCAAATAATTGTCGTTATAAATTAAATTAGATGTATATTTTCCACGACGATTTTACATATATCGCGAACTGTAACTAAGCATCTTTAATAAATATTTAATTTTTTCTTTGTTATTAAATTTTGAAATATTAATAATCTGATATATTATTAATTTAATATATTTTGAAAATTAGTTGTCCATAATTAATTAATCAAACAGATGAACGTTTCTTTCGTGTTCTTTAAGGGAAACGTCGTCGAAAAATTGTTCATGACACAACGGACATTCCAATTTAATTTCCTCAACGTCCATTTCTGGGAAAAATGTCACTTGTGAGGAACCTTCCTGTTGGATAATTCCTAAATTGACATTAACGGTTTCAAGGAATTCTTCACAGTCTTTTAAAGTAAAAAGGTTCTGTTCTGATGAAATATCTTCAAATTCAATTGACTGTGGTCTTTGAAAACTTGTTGATGGTTGTTCAAATGATTCTTTCTGCTCTCGTTGAACGTCTTGTGTACTTTTCTGAAAGTAAACAACATAAATAACATAACCGTATATCATTTGCTAATATGTGGATTGCATTAAATTATATCATATCAGATAATTATATACTGAATTAGGTAATTTTTGTTGAATAATTCCTAAATTGACGTCAATGTTTTCAAGGAATTCTTCGCAGTCTTTTAAAGTAAAAAGGTTCTCTTGTAATGAAATATCTTCAAATTTAATTGACTGTGGTCTTTGAAAACTTGTTGATGGTTGTTCAAATGATTCTTTCTGCTCTCGTTGAACGATTTGTGTACTTTTCTGAAAGTAAATTACTTAAATAGCATAACTGTACACAATTTACTAAAATGTGAATTGCAAAAAATATGTAATATATAATTATATACTGTATTATATATTTGTAATGCTATAAGAGTTAACAATGTTTTTTAAGCTAATTGAGAGTTAATATTTTACAATGTTATTAAAATTTGAAAATTCACAATTTTAACAAATTATGATTAATTAACAACCCTTAGAATAATCGGTACACAAATATAAATGCTTTACAGTAAAGTAATATAATTACGAAAAAGAAACAGCAGTTGTTAATTTTTGTGAAAACAAGAAAGCCATTGTTTATAATTATTCAATAGATATTACTGTAAAGTCACGGAACAAAGACTTTCACACATCCAGTAAATTTCTCTACACTTATATAATTGTATTTGTATTTGAGTGTATGTATCTTCATAATTATTCAATTGAAAAACAAACGAAATTCGATGTCCATAAATTGTCATTCATCGTAATGAGTGAAAATGAAGTTCATTCATGAAAATTTGAATTCTCTGAAGTAAAATTGCATATAATAACTTGTAATTTGGAAAATTAATTTAATATCTGATCTTGAATACATGAAATGACATAGAAACGTTTCTTTACTGACTGCTTATCGAATAACTCCTACTTTATACAAAAACTGCTTAGTGTGAGCCTATTAGTGGCTGAAATTACACGAAAAATTCAGAATCGTTGTATATTTTTAATACANACTGCTTATCGAATAACTCCTACTTTATACAAAAACTGCTTAGTGTGAGCCTATTAGTGGCTGAAATTACACGAAAAATTCAGAATCGTTGTATATTTTTAATACAGGAATTTTCCTGATAATTAAGAAAAAAAAACTTGTCTCTTCGGAGTATCGAATGAAACAGATATACGTGTTTAGAATATATGCGATGAATGAATATTGAAACAATGTGTGCTCATTAAATAAGTGAAGTTACTATTATAATGTTTTTACTATAAGACACGGTTGTATGTTAAAAGTTTAGTCACTAACATATTTATACACTTACTTCGGAGCCAGATGGAATTTCCTTATTCGGATGAATCATTATGATGTGTCTGTTTAAATTACTTCTGGTAGTAAAAGTGCCGTTGCAAAAATTACACGAAAATGGCCGCTCTTTGGTGTGAGTTATCAAGTGAGCCCTTAAAGCTGCGGGAGATGCACAAAGTTTTGAGCAGAAGTTACATTTACGGCTCATTATCTTCGGGTCGTTCGGTGAAATCTAATTATTTAATAAAGTTTTAGTTTATTGTTAACAATATACAGATTGTATCTGAATGACGTTTTAAAAATTTGAAAGATTGTAGAGGATAAAATTTTGAACGTTTTTATATATGGAACCTATAGCCGGAAATTTGAACTAAAGTGTCTAAAGCGGTAGGAAGTGCTTGACCGCCCTTCACTTTGGTAGATAACCTTCCGTTTATTGACTTCATGTTATTGCTGCGAATGGATAACTTTAAACACACAACTACAGTCGTCTAACTGAACCTGTGTACAGGACGTTGTATACAGCATTTAATACCATCAGAGGGGAGTGTGGCATTTTAGAAGGTGTCGGACAAAACATGGTTTGTCGTTGCACATTATGTAATGAAATTGGTGGTCGTCACATTGAACATTTACTCTAAAGTAGTGTAGCCACTGATTCGATTTACACTTTGCTTGTACTCTACTGTTTTGTCAATAAAACTTGTCATAAATACTGTATTCAGCTGTTTCATTCAGCATATCGACCGCATCAAACGTGCAAAGTGCTGTAGAAACTTTATATTACATTTTCGGCAATAGGTTCCTTATATGAAAACGTTCAAAATTTCATCCTGCACAATTTCCCGAAATTTTTTTCCTCAAAATTCTGATACATATTGTATAAAAACATAAAACGTAACGTTTTAAACGCAAGAACTTCATGACAATTTTATATAACACAGTTTTAAAATGATTTCCACAATATATTTCATTGTGATGATGTCGGAGTTATTTGTAAAACAATTTGTTCAAGTTTTATTAAATTATGTGTATAGAAAATTATTTTATAAAAATAGAGCTAACGAGTTGCTGCAGAGTAATTTGCTTAGATTTTCTTATTGACACTAGCAATTACTCACATTAAGAACAACTGTTTTTGGAAATTTTTTCCACTGTAATCTGAATTTAATCTTAAAAATAATAACATTTTATAATTGTAACAATGACTTAATAATACAGTGAACAATAAAGAAAGCTTTTCTTGTGTTTTTACTTTATAAAATGCAAAATTAAAAATACTAAATTAGAAAATAACAACACGAAGATGTATCAGTGGGAATATTATTTATAAAAATAATAATTGTGAAGAATGATTCGCTTAATAATTTAACATTGTTGTAATTAAAATTTTATATTATTCACATTTATCATAGATTATTAATTACACTGGAAAATTTATTATGGATAACGTCTATCCCATTTTATAAATGTTTATGTGTGATTAATTAGCAAAGGTTACATATAGAAAACGGGTTTGCACAAAAAATACAAAGAAACTTAATTAATTTATAGTTTTTTTATCGAAGGTAAAAACTAATATAAAACACCGAAAATATTCCAGCGCTAAAAAGACAACAATGATATTTACAGTTGCTTATTGATATTATTATTTTAATATTTGTTTGTGGAAATAAACACAGTTGCATCGAGTATTGTTTGAAATATTAACTAAAGGTTTCATATTATCGTGTACAATTGTATTGTGCCTGTTTATTTTATAACTTTTATCGCTTTGATAATTAAAAAATAAAAACGAAAATGAAAATATAGAAACTTGTCGTAATATTTACTTTAGATAAAATTTCATCAAAATGCAATGCGTACATGTGTTGTTCCATCCGGATTTCCATTTAAAACTCTCTCCACAGCCATTATAATAGCACTTGAACGGCTTTTCAACGGAGTGCACTTTCATGTGAGTTGTTAAATGACCCTTTTGCGTAAAGCTTTTTTCGCACAAATTGCATTTGTACGGCCTTTCATTCGTGTGAATTCGCATGTGTACACGCAAATGACTTTGATGAAGAAATGCCTTTTCACATTTCGGACATGGATGTTTTCTGTCCTTTTAAAACAATGCGTTGATTAAACATAAATAATTAGTAAAAATCTTAAATAAAAATTATTCTCGATAATATAAATTATTGTTACATATTATAATATTATGTGAATATTGTAGAATTATGTTGTAATATTATAGGATTATGTTAATATGTACTCTATCATCGATATAAAATTAAAATTTTCAGTTGGTGTTATTTCGTGAATTTCTAATAAAACAGTTTGGAAAATTCAAAGTGTATTATACAAATTAAATGAAAGATTACACTTACCATTATGATTTTATTTATTTTGATTCAATTATCAAATTTAATTTATTAATTTCAAGACGAAATTTTGTTAAAACAGAATACAACAATGCACCGAAATAATGTAATTTCTTGATTGTTATGTTTTAATTCTATTAAGCATAGATAATTGCTCATATCTCTTAATTTAAAAATAATGGAAAACATAAAACGATATATACAATATCTTCTGTAATAGAGAAATACATGTCAGGAAAGAAATAGAGTAACGCTATTTCTTTTTCTTGTTTAACTTATTTTTGAATTATTATTATTTTACTTAATCTGCACAATAAGCAGTAACAGGAAAAGCACGGTTTGGTAATATTCAATAGGAGTGTGCGAGTTTACACAAATGAGAATGCCTACAATTTCTGTGTGTCCATAAGCTTATTACAAGTATCTAAGCAAAATATAAATACACTATAACAAACATACAAAAACAATAATATCAATAAAACAAAAATGAAACAATCAACATACAGAGTCGAAGATGATCCAAGCTGCTGATTCCATTTTTAAATTGTTTGTAGGTTTTCACATGTTTATGTTCTTCTGTTAGGGAATTTCAATTGTATAACATTTGGTAGATCGGCGTGGTTCGGCCAAAACTATGTTCGAATGTTAACAGTAGCAGGATATATTCCCATCTGTAACATCTGAATAAGATCTAGTTACCCTTAAAATACTTCCTGAAAAGCATTTCTTTTTCGCGTAACATCCCCTACTCAAAGAAGGCAATGAGGAACCGCTCCGGTTCCAAATTCTCCAAGACATTACTTTTCTTACAAACTAATTTGATCTATCCTACGCCGGGTGTTCGCAGACATCGAAGTGATCTGATATGGCACATCAAAAAGAAAAATTTGTATTTAAATGGTTGGTAGTATTTTTTACAGATTAATAATAAAATATTTTTTCTTGGTATACATAGAGCTGTGAAAATCTCTCTGATTTGTTCCAAAGCGATACTGCTTGAAAATTTCAGCAGGTAATATCACTGACAATATATTTCCCGGAATGCTTCTTGCGTTGTTTATATTTCGTGTTAGTGCAAAGGCTAGATCAAAATCTTTTGTTTGCATCAACTCGCTTTATTGGATTAATGAAATTTAATATTTTATGCCAAATAACTAATTAACACAAAAACTTAAATCGTTTAATACAATTTAATAAACCCGAGGCCTCGTCTCTTATTAAATTATCGATTTAATAATTTTTGTAAATGCTTAGCAGGGCGTTGTATACATCTCCCAAATGAAATCTTAACTCTATCTTACTCTCCTATCTAGTGTCACTCAACGGTTTCAATGTTAAACCTTGAACATGTTATATGATAAAACCATTATACAATTATACCATACTATAAAAAGTATCATACAATTAATGATTTTTTACAGAAAAAAATTAAAATCTTATGATGAAATCATTACACAATTATACGATACTATAAAACCATTATACAACAATTTTATATAATTATACGATGAAAAATATTTCAATAAAATTTTGTATACTCCTCCAAATGCCGTTCTATAGCGTCGAATGCTTGTTTATAACGCCTATCTACCAAATAATATGTAATTGAAACGCTGTAAAAGAATAATACATAAATTTCAAAACCTACAAACAATTTAAAGACTCTATAAAAACCTTGATTTATTTTTAATTTTGTATGTTAATTGTTTTTTCTGTATGTCTGTTATAGTATGTTTGTATTTTCTTTTTACAGTGTAAGAAAGCTAATGGCTTACATCATAAATAAAGTAAAGTAAATAATTAACTTGAAACAGTATAGATATTATAGGGACAATTTTTTAAATTTAATTGAAATTTATTCAATTAAAGCTTATCGACTTTAAAAATGTAAAATATAAATTAAGTGTTTCTTCGATGTTTACATCTTTTGTTTTCATGAAGCAATAAATGTGAAAAATAACTTAATAAATTTGTTTCTTTTAAATATTATACAGTTTTAATCAAATAATTTTCGCTATAAATTAAATTAGATGAATACTTTTTACGACAATTTGACATATATCCCGAACTGTAACTGAGCTTCTTGTCCTGAATATTTAATTTTGTCTCCGTTATTAAATTTTGAAATATTAATAATCCGATATCTTATTAATTTAATATATTTTGAAAGATAGTTGTCCAGAATTATTTAATCAGACGGATGGGAGTTTCTTTCGTGTTCTTTAAGAGAAACGTCGTCGAAAAATTGTTCACGACAGAATGGACATTTCAAATAACACACTTCAACGTCCATATCTGGGGAAAATGTCATTTGTGAAAAACCTTCCTGTTGCAGAATTCCAAAATTGACGTTAAGAGTTTCGAGGAATTCTTCACAGTCTTGTAAAGTAAAAAGATTCTCATCGAAAGAAATTTCTTGAAATTCTGTTGACTCAGGTATAAGAAAACTTGTTGATGGTCGTTCAAACGATTCTTTCTGCTCTCGTTGAACATCTTGTGCACATTTCTGAAAGTAAATAACGTAAATAACATAACTGTACACCAGTTACTAATGTATGAATTGCAAAAAATATGTAATAGATAATTATATATGTATTATATATTTGTTTTGCTATAAAAGTTAACAAATTTTTAACATAATTAAGGTAAAATAATTCACAATATTATAACAAAAGTGTAAATGTTCATTTTTTACAAATTTTGAGTAATTAATATCCTTAAGAATAATCGGTAAACAAATATAAATGCGTTTCGGAAAAGTAATGTTATCAAAGCGAATTATGTGAGAAAACAACGGCGTAAAATAAAACAATATAACTACCAGGAAGATACACCAGTTGTTAATTTCTGTGAAAACAAACAAGTCATCGTTCTTTAATTATTCGGTGAAGACCTAAAAGTGGTCGTGTCATATCTCTTAATGAATATTTTCCTCGTTATTAGCGTTCGAATTTAAATAAAAAATAATAATAATAAAAATCCTTTCTCCCCTTAAAGTATGATTTTTTGCCATTTTATAATAGTACAGTAAAACCGGTTAAGATGTTCTCGCCTAAGATGTTAGAATGTATATGGGGACATGATTTAGTTCAACCGCTTTGACGCTTAATGATGGTTTAACTTATGTGTTAAACCATCTGACTCCGGTTTTGACCACTCTGATCACAGAAATTATTAGGCATCAAACAGGATGAACAAAATCATGCCGCCCACGCATAGTCTAACATCCACTTATAAGAAAAAAAAACCTCGAATGTTTTGCATATCTCGAAATTTCAAGGTTAAAAGTTAAAGTTAAAAGTTAAGGTCCTGGTTAAAAGTTTAGTAATTAACATATTTATACACTTACTTCGGAGCAAGATGGAGTTTCCTTTTTATGATGGATGTTACTGATGTGTCTGTTTAAATTACCTTTGGTAGTGAAAGTGCCGTTGCAAAAATTACACGAAAATGGCCGCTCTTTGGTGTGAGTTATCAAGTGAGCCCTTAAAGCTGCGGGAGATGCACAAAGTTTTGAGCAGAAGTTACATTTACGGCTCATTATCTTCGGGTCGTTCGGTGAAATCTAATTATTTAATAAAGTTTTAGTTTATTGTTAACAATATACAGATTGTATCTGAATGACGTTTTAAAAATTTGGAAAATTGTAGAGGATAAAATTTTGAACGTTTTTATATACGGAACCTATAGCCGGAAATTTGAACTAAAGTGTCTAGAGCGGTAGGAAGTGCTTGACCGCCCTTCACTTTGGTAGATAACCTTCCGTTTATTGACTTCATGTTATTGCTGCGAATGGATAACTTTAAACACACAACTACAGTCGTCTAACTGAACCTGTGTACAGGACGTTGTGTACAGCATTTAATACCATCAGAAGGGAGTGTGGCATTTTAGAGAGTGTCGGACAAAACATGGTTTGTCGTTGCACATTATGTAAAGAAATCGGTGGTCGTCACATTGAACATTTACTCTAAAGTAGTGTAGCCACTGATTCGATGTACACTTTGCTTGTACTCTACTGTTTTGTCAATAAAACTTGTCATAAATACTGTATTCAGCTGTTTCATTCAGCATATCGACCGCATCAAACGTGCAAAGTGCTGTAGAAACTTTATATTACATTTTCGGCAATAGGTTCCTTATATGAAAACGTTCAAAATTTCAACCTGCACAATTTCCCGAAGTTTTATTCCTCAAAATTCTGATACATATTGTATAAAAACATAAAACGTAACGTTTTAAACGCAAGAACTTCATGACAATTTTATATAACACAGTTTTAAAATGATTTCCACAATATATTTCATTGTGATGATGTCGGAGTTATTTGTAAAACAATTTGTTCAAGTTTTATTAAATTATGTGTATAGAAAATTATTTTATAAAAATAGAGCTAACGAGTTGCTGCAGAGTAATTTGCTTAGATTTTCTTATTGACACTAGCAATTACTCACATTAAGAACAACTGTTTTTGGAAATTTTTTCCACTGTAATCTGAATTTAATCTTAAAAATAATAACATTTTATAATTGTAACAATGACTTAATAATACAGTGAACAATAAAGAAAGCTTTTCTTGTGTTTTTACTTTATAAAATGCAAAATTAAAAATACTAAATTAGAAAATAACAACACGAAGATGTATCAGTGGGAATATTATTTATAAAAATAATAATTGTGAAGAATGATTCGCTTAATAATTTAACATTGTTGTAATTAAAATTTTATATTATTCACATTTATCATAGATTATTAATTACACTGGAAAATTTATTATGGATAACGTCTATCCCATTTTATAAATGTTTATGTGTGATTAATTAGCAAAGGTTACATACAGAAAACGGGTTTGCACAAAAATACAAAGAAACGTAATTAATTTATAGTTATTTTATCAAAGGTAAAAACTAATATAAAACACCGAAAATATTCCAGCGCTAAAAAGACAACAATGATATTTACAGTTGCTTATTGATATTATTATTTTAATATTTGTTTGTGGAAATAAACACAGTTGCATCGAGTATTGTTTGAAATATTAACTAAAGGTTTCATATTATCGTGTACAATTGTATTGTGCCTGTTTATTTTATAACTTTTATCGCTTTGATAATTAAAAAATAAAAACGAAAATGAAAATATAGAAACTTGTCGTAATATTTACTTTAGATAAAATTTCATCAGAATGCAATGCGTACATGTGTTGTTCCAACCCGGATTTCCATTTAAAACTTTCTCCACAGCCATTATAATAGCACTTGAACGGCTTTTCAACGGAGTGCACTTTCATGTGAGTTGTTAAATGACCCTTTTGCGTAAAGCTTTTTTCGCACAAATTGCATTTGTACGGCCTTTCATTCGTGTGAATTCGCATGTGTACACGCAAATGACTTTGATGAAGAAATGCCTTTTCACATTTCGGACATGGATGTTTTCTGTCCTTTTAAAACAATGCGTTGATTAAACATAAATAATTAGTAAAAAACTTAAATAAAAATTATTCTCGATAATATAAATTATTGTTACATATTATAATATTATGTTAATATTGTAGAATTATGTTGTAATATTATAGGATTATGTTAATATGTACTCTATCATCGATATAAAATTAAAATTTTCAGTTGGTGTTATTTCGTGAATTTCTAATAAAACAGTTTGGAAAATTCAAAGTGTATTATACAAATTAAATGAAAGATTACACTTACCATTATGATTTTATTTATTTTGATTCAATTATCAAATTTAATTTATTAATTTCAAGACGAAATTTTGTTAAAACAGAATACAACAATGCACCGAAATAATGTAATTTCTTGATTGTTATGTTTTAATTCTATTAAGCATAGATAATTGCTCATATCTCTTAATTTAAAAATAATGGAAAACATAAAACGATATATACAATATCTTCTGTAATAGAGAAATACATGTCAGGAAAGAAATAGAGTAACGCTATTTCTTTTTCTTGTTTAACTTATTTTTGAATTATTATTATTTTACTTAATCTGCACAATAAGCAGTAACAGGAAAAGCACGGTTTGGTAATATTCAATAGGAGTGTGCGAGTTTACACAAATGAGAATGCCTACAATTTCTGTGTGTCCATAAGCTTATTACAAGTATCTAAGCAAAATATAAATACACTATAACAAACATACAAAAACAATAATATCAATAAAACAAAAATGAAACAATCAACATACAGAGTCGAAGATGATCCAAGCTGCTGATTCCATTTTTAAATTGTTTGTAGGTTTTCACATGTTTATGTTCTTCTGTTAGGGAATTTCAATTGTATAACATTTGGTAGATCGGCGTGGTTCGGCCAAAACTATGTTCGAATGTTAACAGTAGCAGGATATATTCCCATCTGTAACATCTGAATAAGATCTAGTTACCCTTAAAATACTTCCTGAAATGCATTTCTTTTTCGCGTAACATTTCGTACTCAAAGAAGGCAACGAGAAACCGCTCCAGTTCCAAATTCTCCAAGACATTACTTTTCGTACAAACTAATTTGATCTAACCTACGCCGGGTGTTCGCAGACATCGAAGTGATCTGATATGGAACATGAAAAAGAAAAATTTGTATTTGGATGGTTGGTAGTATTTTCTACAGATTAATAATAAAAGATTTTTTCTTGGTATACATACAGCTGTGAAAATCTCTCTGATTTGTTCCAAAGCGATACTGCTTGAAAATTTCAGCAGGTAATATCACTGCCAATATATTTCCCGGAATGCTTCTTGCGTTGTTTATATTTCGTGTTATTGATTAATTACATCTTTTACTTTCGGTAAAGCAAATTTCGTCTAAAGACAGTAATATGTTTTATAATTTAAATCTTCCAAAAAGACAGTTAGCAATAAACACAGTTTCTGGTTTTTTTACTTTGTATAATAGAAATAGAAACACTTAAGAAACATATCTTTTGTTTATAAATAAGAATATCAACTATAAAACTAATAATTGCAAAGAAAGATTCTTTTAATAACTTCAACTTGTCGTAATTAAAATTTTACATTATTCACAGCATTATTGTTAATTACACCAATGAATATATTCCGAGTAGTAATTTTTATTTTATAAAGAATTATAACTTATTGATTGTCAAATTGTGATTCAAGTCTATAATTTTATTCAAGAAATGCAAGCAAGCTTGATCTGTTCACAATCTAATATATAATCGAGACGGGTTGATANACTGAGCTTCTTGTCCTGAATATTCAATTTAGCCTCCGTTATTAATATTAAATGTCAAAATATTAATAATTTGATATCTTATTAATTTAATATATTTTGAAAAATAGTTGTCCAGAATTAGTTAAAAAGACGGATGGGAGTTTCTTTCGTGTTCTTTAAGCGAAACGTCGTCTAAAAATTGCTCACGACAGAACGGACATTCAAAATAGCATACTTCAACGACCGTATCTGGAGAAAATGTCACTTGTGAAAAACCTTCCTGTTGCAGAATTCCAAAATTGACGTTAAGGCTTTCAAGGAATTCTGCACAGTCTTTTAAAGTAAAAAGATTCTCGTCAGAAGAAATTTCTTCAAATTCTATTGACTGTGGTGTTTGAAAACTTGTTGATGGTTGTTCAAACGATTCTTTCTGCTCTCGTTGAACATCTTGTGCACATTTCTGAAAGTAAATAACGTAAATAACATAACTGTACACCAGTTACTAATAACAATGGAAGTGTTAAGTAACAATGGAATTGTTAAGAGAAAGCGACATGCCAGACGCATTTGCAGTTTTTTTCGTTTTTGCGGGAAATCGAACATATTTTTAGACCCATGTAAAAATTCTCTAATTAGTCTGGAAACAAGGGAACCCAATTCTTGCATTCTGTGAAAACGGGTAAGGTTGACTGTAACGTAATAATCTTTATCTTAGTTATCGTTACTTTTGCCCGAGCAACGCCGGGCCCACCTGCTAGTTTTTGAATAATGTTTTAAACCGGTAAAAAACGACGAAGAGTTTTCTGAATGTTTAACAAGTAATAACATTAATTACAATCACTTGTAACTTTTAATATCATGCGCTCGGTTTCTGTAAATTAGTGCGAATTCATTAATTACTCTTTGTAAAATTAATTACATCTTTTATATCACCCGACATAAATCTATCGGGAAAAGTAACAGATGTTGCATTCGTTAATTATGTAAATTTTATCGTGTCAACTATCGAAATATAAAAATATTAATATAGAAACTTTTCGTAATAAGTATTTACGTCGGATAAAACTTCGTTTCGATGGCTTGAAAACTCGTGTTTTAACCCGTATTTCCGTTTAAAGCTGGATTTACAGCCTGAGTAATTGCACTTGAATGGTTTTTCATCCTAATGTACAAGCATATGCTTTGCCAAATTTCTCTTATCCGAAAAGGTTTTTTTGCACAAATTACATTTAAATGGCTTTTGCCCGTGTGAATATGCATATGTGTTTGCAAAACTTGTTTACTAAGATATTTCTTGTTGCATGTCGGGCATTGATGTTTTCTGTCCTTTTAAAATAATTCTGCGGACGAATGTCTGATTGCAAAGAGAGAGTTCGGAGGAGTTAAGTTCCATATTACCATAAAAGCATCAATGGATTCTGTATTTCACACATCGCCATCTCGAATTAACTTATGTCTGTCGAGACCGAAATTTAAAAAACGTGAACATCACAGTTTAATATGTACCCCTAAGTCTCTGGAACGCAATACATGCACCAGTGAACCTACAACTATACGATTTATATTTTAAAAATAATTAAATTCACTTAGCATTTAAAACTTGTGAATTTTGAAAAAAAAAAATTTGCTGATTAAATACGGACAACCGTTTAACTGAAGTAAAACGGGTTTTCCCCTTGCTATGGATGTCTGCCTAGTTCAGTTCAGCCACATTCCGCTACAGTTCGCCTTTATTATCAGTTCGAAATGGGGTGGTTCCATAATACCCGCAGTGTTCCATAATACCACCTTCTCCTCTAC